AATGCCCTAGTCTCTTGTAAGCCAACCCACAAACGTTGTGGTACTGCTTGCTTTGATTACGTTCAATGTTGAACCACAACGTTTGCGGGTGCTAGTTTGACCTCGGTTTCGCAACTTGGTCGTGTTGTCAGGGCGACCTAGTTGGATTCAACTTGTCCGAAGCCCTCTGCTATAGTAGGTATGATAATTCCCGTGGACTTGGTACATTCATAGACGTTTCGCCGGCATCGTCAGAGAGTCTTGCCATTCTCAGCACCAAGTCACAGCTTGTCAGAGACAATTCAAATCAATCCATTGACCAACTTTCTGCCAAAACGGTTGTGCTATCACTCTCTATTTATCCTGACTCATCTCTCTGCTCCTTAACCTCTTATTTCACTCGCGACCTATCATAATTTTTCACTTATTTCTATTCCAACCATCAAGAGGTGTGTCCTTTTTGGTAAATTTAGTGTGGCATCATCAAACCTGTTGTTTACCTTGCACCGTCGCCCTCTAGATTTGCTGATTTGAAATGGGCCTCCTATTTCGATCTGCCCCATGGGTCTTTAGATCCGATTCTCATCCTTCTGATTGACTGATTTTATTCGGCTCCAGTACCAGTATACACTTTATCAAGCATTTAGCAGCATGTACACTGACGCCTCACCGGAAAGAGCACCTAGGCTCTGATTTATATGCCTGCAGTTATCAGACATTGTCTCCACAGCTCATCTTTCTGATTCAAGCCGTGTACGTTGGGATAACTGTAAACGCCTAGCCCTGGTCGCCTGCTGCATTTCAAATGGAATTCTAGTCAATTGAGCCATAATGTACACCTCTTAAGGAGTGGAATATAAATAAGTCAGAAGTTGTAATGGGGCCTCTCTAAAAGAAACTAAGATCGAAAAACTCTTTAAATGATGAGAATTTGATAAAAATAAAAACTTAGTATAGCTTATGGGGAGTTTAAAAAATAAATGCAAAGGCCGCAAGGCTGCACATAGAGATTCCAAAGAGAAGTGTCAGCCTAACTCGTTTAATAAGTTCTTGCTTCAGCCGTTCTCACACAAGACTAGCACAATACAAATAGAACACGATACATTCACGGCACCACCTTTGCATGAAACTTTACCAAACATTTGCCCTTCAAAATGTCTGATCAGAAGGAATATGTAAATTAAGACCTACCCTGAAACTCGGGATCTTCAATTCGATCTATCCAACGGCAGGAAATCATTGATTCCGCATCATTGTCGTCTCCAAGACTAGGTACCGGTTCCTGTGATGTCAAATTGGCAATTGCAGCCGCCTCAAGGCCTTGGCACCACTCAAAAAAGGCACCTAGTTGACGCTTTTGACGAAGACTGAGAAGACGAGTTTTGAAAACGTCCGAACGACACAGTGGTATCTGCGAAAAGCCAATTATATTATAAAATATAAATCGATTTACCAAAGTCAAGGTACTAGAGATATGAGCTCAATTCCTTCCAATTTTTTCAAGTTTCTCACACTCACTAAGAAAATTCGGAGAATGTACCTAAAAACGACATCTTTTGCCACTGTATTCATGTCCTCTAACAAATGAAGTTCAAACAGTTTGGCGACGATAAGGAGAGCCACAGAAAGCCCAAAATCCCGACTCATATAAAATGAATCAGAGTGCTCATATAAGGCTTGTAGTATTCACTACATGATTTTAAGTAAAGGTAGATGTAAGGATGCATTTGGCGTAAAAAAAGTCTTGCAAACGCAAGACTAGCTTAAATATTTCTAAATCATATAATCGTATAGGAAATAAGGCGTGCTATTACCTAAGCTTTACAGACAAATATATCCGACGAAGATCCTTTAGCTTTGTAAATTTATATACCTCGAAAGCCTACTTATAAAAGAAAAAAAAAGTAAATTTATGACTTTAGTAGCACAGAAACATACTTTTATCAATTCGCGATGCGGAGACTGACTGCTGCCCGTAGATAGGCAATGAGCAACTAAAGGATCCGTTGAGCATTTGAATGAAGCATTAATGTTGGAGGCCTGTTCTGTAGCCTCTTTTTCATTTGGGGGTTCACTGGCCCTCAAGGCTAAGAGGCGGGTGATAAAACGGAAGTCCATATATCGAGTTACGTCCGTACGCAGCATACAGGCGACAGTAGGACTCTCAGCGAAGATCAGCTAATGCATTGAAGTTCAGATTAATAGATGCATTCAATATAAGGGGTCGAAACGATGGTCGTGAGGCAGGATTTGGAGAGGTTAAGCAAAATATGGTAAAGGGTGAATAAAGGCGAGAATTAAATTAATACGAAAACTAATATCTTGTTTTCTAGAATTGATGAAAGAGGGTACCTTGGGCATAATGTCAAACTCCGCGCGGCAAAGCAGACTACGAAGAAGGGGCCGTGTCCAGTCAGTGTGCTGAAGCGTAGGCGCCTCGACAGCTTCACGGGGAATAGTATCTACAGCAGAAGTAGTATTGGCACTTCTGCTAGCATCATGTGTAATGTTATTTGTAACAGCCGGATGGGACGACTGACTAGGTTCATCGTGAGAGCACTGAGTAGAAGCTGGCAGTGTAAATGAGCTAACTATTGATGTAGAAACGTCTATATCTAGATTAAGCGCAGATTCTGATCCATTACTATGGGTTTGGCGAAGATATTCCGTAGAATCTACCTGGAAATCATGCGGCCCTGATAAAATTGGATCGGGAGTCGTAGTGAGAGGAGCTAAGTAAAACGAATATGATTGCAACATAAAGGCAGTATATAGAGATCAAGTAATAGAACCATAGAGGGGATAAGTATGCAGTGATGATAAGGTACAACGACAAAAAGTATCATACCACAAACTATCATACCTTTATTTGGACAAAATTTTATTATTTAGAGCCTAGAGTTTTATGAAGAACTCTATAAGATCATTACGGGCCATCAAAGAACAAGAGCCGAAACAG